GTTTAAACGGTTCAATGCTGAGATATATGGTTGCGGGCGTCATTTTAAAGTTTCCGCGACTTGGGCTGGTGTTCGTCTTTCGTTGCTAGCTTTGAATAAGGTGACCTCTTACGATGCTTGGGATTTCCGACGGGTTCCATAAATTTTATTATTTTTCTATGGGTGCTGTGTTTCCTTTTTATTGATCATGTATACGGATTAAAGCTGCTATGACAAAAATAAAATGAGTTTTGAGAACGATAAGGTTAGTAAGCTTGAAATTATATATCCTGCAGGCGGAGAATGTAGAAAAAGAGGATCTCTTACGTCTGTTGGCTTGTCTTCAGAGCGAACTCGAGGCTCGGGAAGAAGTTATAAATACTTTACGAGTGAGTNTGATTCAGTGCTAAGTTTATCATCATTTTCGCAGTTGGAAAGGCTCCACGCGGTCAATTTTCGTGCAAAATACGGATTTGGTGATATTGAAAGAACAGAGGCTGGTGACAGCAAAGACCCATTCTACGCTCTGCAGCGGGATTCAGTGAGTTTTGATCAATTAATGCATATCTTATCAGTTGGTTGTTCCTTCCAATCCTGCACATGCGGAGGCAGATCTTAAGCCACTTTATGATACTCAGTTGGTGCAACTGGAGAACCTCATAACATCCCAACGTCGAGCTCAGGATACTATGCGTGAACAGCTTTTATTAATGGAGAGCAAATACCTAAAGGTGGGTGTTATCCGCGCTCTTGGTCAGCCTCTTTCGTCATAGGTGTGCAAAGAACTGGAGGATGAACGAAATAAGCACGAACGGGATGCTGCTCAAGGTGATGATGTTCTCGTAATGCTTGAAAAAGAACGCGAACGTCTAAAATCGGAGGTATTTGGCCATTAAAACTTCCTTATATTCAAGGTTGAATATGAGCGTGGTCTTAATAGAAAATTGGAAAAAGATTTGCGCAAAGTCTTGGGTGCAATGAAAGAGCAGGCAATACTTCTGAACACTCAGAAGATGGCAGCTGTATCTATCATTAAGGAGCGTCATCGCTTTTGTGGTGACCGCAAATTAAGCAGTGATCATACATTTACTCGACACGGCAAATCTAATGAAGTCGGAAGTACACCGGTGAGTCTTGGATACATGATTGACATTTTCTACATAGCCATCAAGTATTGAGCCGTCTGATTCCCTATCCGGAAAGGAGCATTCGCCAGTATCGCACGAATATTCTCCCAGCAGCGCCTTTGGCGAGGGTTCTTTCGTATCTCGAGAATGCATTCGTTTGCGCAGATTGTTAACGGAAGAAATTAACGCCCGAAAAGTGTTGCAGGACCAGTTTGAACGGTAAGTTCTGGTAATAGAGTTGCCTGCTTACTTGCTACCGTTGAAACTGCTGTCAACCTCGTTAGTAACGGTTAGAACTAACAAGTCCAGATAAAGTGCCTAGATTTTACTGGTAGCTTGTCGTAACTGTCATATAGATGTTTAAATCTCAATCACTACACTTATTCTTTGTTTAAAACCTAACCACGGTTTAGCACCCTTAATGGAGTTAAGCACCGAGGTGGACAAGAATTATCGGTCTCAAAAATTAAAGCTGCCATGTTGCTCAATCTTTACGCGTGTCACTAGATACGTTGAAACGGCGAGCGATGTTCACCGAGGCAAGTAGCAGGTGGAAAAAAGCCGAGGGTTGTCAAGCTAAG